TCATATCCTGGAAATCCAAAAAGTAGTCTACAGTATCAAAATCAAGTTCAGAAGCGGAATACAGGGCCTTGGCAAGCTTGACTTGTGAATTGCAATGGCTGCAGTATTTGTTCAAGGATCTCCACATCTCCTTTGATCAACCTATCTCAGTCTATTGTGACAACAAAAGTGCTATCTACCTTGCTCACAACCCCACCTTCCATGAACGAACAAAACATATCGAAATTGACTGCCACGTCATTCGTGAGAAAATCCAAACTGGTCTCATCCATCTTTTATCAGTTTCTTCAGCTGCTCAATTGGCAGATGTTCTCACCAAACCTTTGGCAGCTCCCTCTTTCGACTCTCTTGTTTCCAAGTTTGGTCTATTAGATATCCATAGTCCAGCTTGTGGGGGGCTATTACATGATGAAAATAATTTTGTTTAGTTTGTTACTAAACAGTTTGTAGTTTGTTATAGTTTGTTACACTCAAACAGTATATATAGTACTGTTTTGTACATTCCAAATCAGAATAATACATTCAGTTTATTCCAAAATTAACATATATTACAAGTAAATAATTATTTAATAAAAATATATGATCATTTAATATAAAAAATTGTATATTTTATTATTTATGTTATTTAACTTGTCAAATATATTTACTATTTTGAATATAATGATATTCAAAACAAACTCGCACGGTGTATGCTTAGTAAAACTGTTTAAAAAAATCATGATCTGAATTGAACCGTTGATCTGAACTAAATTAAAGTTAAAATAATTAAACTATTATGTTTGGTTAGTGAACCAAACCACTATTTTATTAACGATTCTAAAATCGAACCAAGTTAAAATTAACCAAATATAAATTAAAACTTAACCATTATTTTTAAAACATAAAAACTGAATTGTATTAGCTATTCTCACAACACTGAACTGTTGGGATTTGTTGAAAATTTACATGTTGAAGAAGTCTCACATCGCTTGTTTTTGTAAAGGAAGAAGAAGTCCAAGACTATATATAGATTTTAAGTTTTTCTAAGTCCAACATCGCTTAGTTTAGTGAATAAATAGGGAGTATATATATATATATATATATATATATATATATATATATATATATATATATATATATATATATATATATATATATATATATATATATATATATATATATATACGATTCAATTTTTTCTTTTCTTTTATCCTCTTGTGTTAGAGTGTTTTAAGATGTGGTTAAATATTTACTTTAGAGAGTATGGGTGTATTGGGAGTCGTGGGGTGGTTGAGAGTATATTATGTGTTGTAACAATTTTCATATAATATTATTCTTTAGTTGTCATTTGACAACGGTCGTGGATTTTTTTTTCCGGTTTTAGAGTTTTCATGTTATATCCTTGTGTTGTTATTGTTGTTATTTTGCTCCTCTTTTTTCTCTATGTTTTGCTTTAATTTTTTCCAACAACTGGTATCAGAGCTTTTGGTTCGATCCTGAGATATGAGTTTTTAGTATGCTTTGTGGTTAAAGCTTTGTCTGATCTTCCACATCGGAAAAAAAGGATAATGTTATGAAAGAGTTGTTGAGTTGCAGTCACAAGTTTCGCTGTGCAGTTTGGACTAGAGAAAATTGATGGAAGAATTGTTTTTGACTCGTGGAAAGTTTAAGTTAAAGATGTCTTGATACAATCAAGATTGCACAAGGTGCAAGATTATGTCGGTGGTTGAAGAGCTTCCTGCCAACAAGAAAGTTGCACCATAAAGTTTCAACCTAGTTTTCGGCATGTGAAAATTCTTGAAGTGGTTTAACTTCAAGTGAAGTATACTCTTTTTTAGGTGGAGTATGATAGTTTTTAAAACTATGATTGTCGGTGAAGACAATGTGAAAATTCTTGTAGTGGGGTAACTTCAAGTGACTATACTATTTATGGTGGAGTATGATTGTCGGTGAAGACAATGAAAATTAATGTATTATTTTCAATCAAGGTAGAAATTATTGGGTTTGGTTGAAAATATATATGTCGAAGAATTCTCACATAGCTTATTTTTGTAAAAGAAGAGGGACTCCAAGACTATATATAAAATTAAAGATTTTCGAAGTTCCACATTGTTTAGTTTAATGAATGAAGAGGGAGTCCGATACTATTTATAGAATTCAAATTTTTCTTTATAAGATGCACCAATAAAAAACACTTTAAGTTTGTATTTGATTTTTTTTCTTTTCTCTTATGCTTTTGTGTTAAAGTATTTTTATATATAGTTAAACTTTGAAGAGTATGGATGTATTATGAGTTCTGAAGTGGTTGAGAATATATTACGTGTTGTAACAATTTTCTTATAATATTATTCTTTGATTGTTATTTGACAACGACCGTGATTTTTCCTTTTAATTTTAAAATTTCTACAGTATATCATTATGTTGTTATTATTATTTTGTTCATTTTTTTCCTTTATATTTTATTTTTTTCTCAACATGAACTTGCCGTGAAAACCAAACCTGAACCAAATCGTTTAGAAGTTACAATCCAAAACACGTTAGAACTTACAACTATACAGGCTTGTGAAATAATGTCTCAGTTTAAAAAATAAAAAAAAACACAAGTTATAAATCAGTTTTACGTCTTATCTACAGGTAGACATTATATTAAAGACAAGATTCTTCTTATCATAAAAGCTAATCTCTATGGATAAGTAGAATTAGTCTACTGAACTGATATAAAACTTGTAGCTATACAATGGCATCATGAAATTTCAATCACTTGTAAAAAGAGAGTTAGCTACACTACTACAATGAAAATGACACAAAGGGACATGGCATTTCAATTTCTTGGAGTTTTGTTCTGTTTTTAGTCTGAAATCAGAAGGAAAAAAATTTTAAAATTTATTGTATCTTTTACTATAAAAATGATTTATACAAGCTTATTTTTATAAATGCTTAGTTTTGTAAGTAATTGTGTTATAAACTGTATATAAGTTGTTTATTCAAATATATATATATATATATATATATATATATAAGTTGATTAATTTGTATATTTTTGAATGATTTTTTGTAATTTTGATTTTAATTGAGAATATAGACAAAAAGAATATTTTTTAAGTTAAAAAGTTATGTAAAATAGTATATTCAAAACGTTTATAAAGAAATACTAAAAGTAAATTTAATAGATTCTTTATTAAAAAATTCAAAATCCAATAAATTATTTGATTTGAAATGGTTTGGTATGAGATTCTAAACTGTTATATCAAATTAAAAGTTTTGATTTAGTTCAATTCTAAAAAAATTAAAAAATTAAAATATTTTAATATGATTCAGATTATCTTATAATATTTAATTTAATTCGATTTAATTTTATGACGGAACATTATCATAAACAGCTCTAATGCCTAGTTGTTATTTTAAACTAAAAAAAATAAGAACATTTCATTCAACAAAATATGACAACTCAGATCGAGACTAAAATAAAACCTTCTGTTTTTGGCTATTTCTCTCCCAACAAACTGGAATATGCAAATGTTGTTCCCTGACCCACATATTTAAACATATCAACTAATTAATCAATAATATTCAGATATAATAGTATATGCTTTTTATGGTTAAGTCATCGTCTTTTAAGAACCTTCTAAAGTATTTCCACGTTACGTTACCTGCATTATATTAATAAATTCCACAGTTTCTTTTTAGCTGTTGGAAATTTACTAATAACAAATTCCATAGTTTCCATAATTCCATGTGTATCTTAAAATAAAAAATAAAAATGAAATAATAAATTGTATTTTATCGGAAAAGAAATTCTATTTTATATATTTTATTCTATTGCATTTTCTTTTATATATATATATATATATATATATATATATATATATATATATATATATATATATATATATATATATATATATATATATATATATATATATATATTAACGAGTGTTCCGAAATATTTATTAAGAGTTTAAAAATGTAAGTTTCGTTTGAAAATACTTCTATTCAATAGGTTGAAAATTAAAATAATTAATTAAAAATATATATAAAAAATATGATTTTTTTTAAAATTGTATTCAATGTAATATTTTTTTATTTAAAATTTATAAAGAATATTTTTAGAACACTCGTTAGCATGCATCATATATATATATATATATATTTATATATATATATATATATATATTACAATAGATGTACACACATTTTTGTTATAAAAAAATATTGATTTCTCCTTTTCAGTTTTGAAAAGAAATAGAAAAGTGGTAGTGTAAAATTAGTCTCTCTCCAACTTTTCAAATTGAACAAAAAAGTTTAACAATTCTCTTCGATTTTTCTCACCAACCTTTCTCTTCTCTATTTTATCTAAAACAAACATACTCTTAATGAAAGAGAGAAAAGAATTGAACTAGACAATTTATAGTAAATTTTTAGTAGGTTCAACTAAATAAATGTTCTTTTATTTTTCGATAAGAATTTGTAAATTTACTATGTTGGGAGTTTCAACTCTTCTGCTCAATCTATTTCATGTTTGTCTATTTTTGATTAATTTATTTTGCTTAAACTTATACTTAATAATATATTTTATTTTTTTTATGTAATCTTTCATTAATATAATAGTTCGGTTATATTAAAGAAAAAGGAGAAATCAATGTTCTTAAATACTGTAGATTTGTATTGTCATTATTATTCTTTTTTTTTCTATTTCATGTGCATTAGAAATAAGACTCAACTCTAAACCCTTATCTAGAGAAGTGATTCCCCATTTTGCAAAGGAACTTCAAATAACGGAGAGCTTCACTCTTATCTGTTGAACCGTCAGAGGTGTGGCAACTTGGCAATGTCTACAGAAAACTTTTGCAGAAGCTCTTGGCAATGTCTGCAATATTCTAACAAGTCAACTCTCAACGCCTTGTGTAAAAGGAGATGAACTCTTAATCTCGATTCCAGAAGAAGAATACCAGATGAGATTAGAAGCCTGTAAACATAAGCTTCACGGCTATATTTTGTGGGCAAAAGAAGCCACACCTCTGATGGTTCAACATATAAGAGTGAAGCTCTCCGCTCTTTGGAGTTCCTTTGCAAAATGGGGAATTACTTTCATAGGTAAGGGTTTCTATAAATTTTCCTTCTCCAATCTGGAGGATGTTAGAAGAGTCAGATTTATGCCCTCATGGAACTTTAACCCTTGTTTGCTAAAACTCTTCCCTTGGACGAGAGACTTTATACCAAGGAATGTTAAGAATACTTCTGCTCAGGTCTGGGTCAGAATACATGGTCTCTCATAAGGATTGGAGGCCCAAAATTATTTCCGCGTCTGCGAGTAGTTTAGCACTCCAATATGTATTGATTCCTCTTCATATAAATCGCCTTTTGAGCGTGCCTTCGGTCACTTTGTTAGATTTCTTATTGATTTGGACCTGATGAAGGAGCTTAGAGACAAAATATTGGTGGAGAGAGTGGGTTTTGCCTTCTTTGTCGATATTGAATATGAAAAGCTCCCGGATTTATGTAACTATTGTAGAATAATTGGTCACTCTGAAGCTTATTGCAGGAGAGCTACAAACAGAGATGAGAAAGAGAATAATAAGAAAAATGACCTCAATAATGGCCCTATTTTCAAACACAAAGAAATAGAGAAGGAAGTGGCGGAGAAGAAAAAAGTTCAGCAAGATTTAGGTGACACTAGTGGGGTGGCTAAGGGAGACGAGAACAATATACAACAAAAGGTGTGAGACTCCTTTCTGCATGCTGAAACCTTATTCACACAACCAGATATTCCAGTTTTAGATATGAATGGGAACAACGGGGATAACCTCAATGATATTGCAGGGAAACATGTAGATGTGATAAGCTCGACTGATTCTGAGTTTGTTGATGCCATTCATATTTATGCTTCTACCGAACCTCCTGCTGTTAACACAAACAAAAATGCTAAATTTATAAAACTCTCTTGGGATAATATGGCTGACAACAAGGATAAGAGATTTACCTCTGAGGAGGATATCTCTAATGCAGATGCTGATAGCTCCAGGTTTCAACTGGTTCTATCAAAGTCGCACAAGAAAAAGGACAAAATAGAAATCTAAAATCAAAGAGGCCTATGATACCAGATCAAAAGCTGATCAAAAAAAGCCTTCATTATGAAGTTTTTATTCTGGAACATCCGGGGACTGGCCAACTCCCCTTCAAAGTTAGCCCTTAAAAACCTTCTTAAAACTCACAAACCTAATATTTGCATAGTTGCAGAACCTTGGATGAATCACCTAAATTTTCCTGAGTCCTTATAGAATAGACTTGGGTTGAAGCTTTTTGCCGTAAACCACAGACCCAACCTTCACTCCAATCTTTGGTGTATTTATAAACTTTCCCTTGATCCTAACATCCTTTCCATCACTGACCAGTTTGTTGCTTTTTCTTTCATTATGGATAGCCATTTAATTGGAGTTGTTGCAGTGTATGCTTCCACTTCCCATTTGGATAGAAGAAGTTGGTGGAATGATTTCAATGCTATTTTGGGTGCTCATTAGCACATGGGTAGTAGAATCCCTTGTAGGGTCCCTATGAATGATTTCAAAGCTTGGGTAGATAGTAATAATCTTATTGATATGCCTGCCAAGAGCCCATCTCTTACTTGGTATAATGGAAGGCAAGGCAAGGCCTCTGTTAAGAGAAATTTAGATAGAGATTTTTTCAATAATGATTGATACACTACTAACAATTCCATTATCTCAATCACTCTCCCTAGGTATAGGTCAGATCATCACCCTATCCTGGTGGATTATTCCTTCACCCTAACAAAATTTTCATCATCCTTTAGATTCTTGGGGATGTGGTCCTTACATGATAATCGCAGGGATTTAATAGCTAAGGTCTAGTCCACCAAGATTGTTGGCTGTCAGATGTTCGTTCTAAATAAAAAACTTCAAATCCTTAAAACTCACTTGAAGACTTGGAACAAGGAGGTTTTTGGAAATATCCATGTACTGGTGAAATCTAAATTGGATTCCCTGGTTGCTATTCAGGAGAAAATTTCATCTTTGGGCCCACTGATGAGCTTAGGAATCAGGAGAGGCAAGCACAACTAGAGCTTGAGCAGGAGCAGCAGAAGGAAGATTTTTTCTGGGCTGAAAAGGCCAACTTGGATTGGCATTTGTTGGTGACAGGAATACATCCTATTTCCATAGGTTGGCCAAAATTAAAAGATTAAAGTGTGTTATTGTTGTCCTAAAAGATGGTGATAACATCATAACAAACCCTGAGGAGATGGCCAACATGGCAGTTAATTTTTTCACTAACCTTTTATGTTTTGCAGATCCAACTCAAGATGGCACAATTGTGGATGAGGTGATTTCGAATCTGGTGGACACCAATATGAATAACATCTTATTTATGATTCCCAATTTGGAAGAAGTCACCAATGTTATCCACAACCTTAATAAATCCAGTGCCCCTGGGTCTGATGGATTTAGAGGGGTTTTCTATCATACTTATTGGGATATCATTCAGCAAGATGTTTATAAGGCTACTATCCAATTTTTCAAGACTGGATGGATTTTACCTCACTACAAATCTTGCACGGTGATGTTAATTCCTAAGTCCAAGGATGCTCAAACTATGAACAATTACAGACCTATCACACTGTCCAATTTCAAGTACAAAATCATATCAAAGATCATTGCTGACAGAATCTCCTCCATTTTACCTTTTTTTGATTTCTAAAGAGAAAATAGGGTTTATACACTGCAGGAATATTAGGGATTGCGTTTGTCTTTCCTCTGAGGCAATTAACGTGTTGGACGAGAAGTGAAAGAATGGAAATTTGGCGTTTAAAGTGGGCATCTCCAAGGCTTTCGACACTATAAGTTAGGATTTTTGGCTAAGATGCTTACTAAATTCGGTTTTGACAAGAAGTTTTGTGACTGGATTTGCACGATTTTATCTTCTTCCAGGTTATCTATCAATTTCAATGGAAACCTTCATGGTTTCTTCCAATGTAGCATAGGTGTTAGGCAGGAGGAATCTCTTTCCCCCTTGCTTTTTTGTTTAGCTGAAGAAATGTGAAGTATGAGTATCTCAAATTTAGTGGATGTTGGGGGGGGGGGGGGGGGGGGGGGGGTTAAAGCTCATCAAATCTTCTAACAATAAATTTGTTCCTTCTTAAATTCTGTATGCAGATGATATTATGATTTTATGTACTGGTAAAAAATCTAATATCTCTGCTCTGGAAAATAACTTCAAGGACTACTCTTTTGCTTCCGTCCAAAAACTTAACCTTAAGAAATCTTTCATTTTCTCGGGATCTATTGCGAACAATCGTTTGGAGGAGATTCTTAATAGCACTGGTTTTTTAAAGGGTACACTCCCCTTCAACTATCTTGGAGTCCTGATTTTTAAAGGTAGAGTTAAATCTTCTTTCTTAGCTCCAATTTCGAACAAAATTCTTTGCAAACTCGCGGCTTGGAAGGGATCGCTTATTTATATGGCTGGTCAGATAACTGTGGTGAAGTCCACTATCCATAGCATGATTTACTACACCATTAATCTTTACTCCTGGCCGGTTTCTTTATTGAGAAGTATTGAAAGGGCTTGTCGAAATTTCATTTTGTCAGGAAACATTCATATCAAGAAATTGTCAATGGTCTCGTGGAAAAAATGTTGCCAACCTACTATGAATAAGGTCTTGGTATTCGGTCTTTGGAAAGATTACATGAAGCTTCAAACCTCAAGTTAGGTTGGGTTTGGTGAACAGTATGGAGAGTTGGGCTATCCTCCTAAGGAACTGTATTTTAAAAGTGAAAGGGATGATTAAGTATCATATTTTTGAACAATTTGGACTGGTATTAAGTCAGAATTCTCAAATCTCCACAACAACTCTTCCTGGTGTATCGATTCAGGTAATCGTATCAGGTTTTGGTTGGATTCGTGGCATGGTCAGCCTTTAATCAACCATTCTTCCTTGGATTTTCTCCTCTCAAAAGGTATTAATGTTCATGCGCTTTTAGCGGATTATGTTAAGAATGGATTTTGGGACTTTCCCTCTAATTCGATTTTGTGGTTTCCTTCTCTTCTGAATTGGATTTCGACGATCCTAGCACTAATCCGGATAACAATTACATTTTTGTCTAGAATCACAATGATCCAGGTACCCTCTCAATTAAAGATGCCTATATTTTCAAAGACAAGTCTCAGCCTGTGTAGTCTTGGTCGAAACTCATTTGGTGTAGGGATGTTTCGCCCAGTAAAGCTCTTTTGATGTGGAGGCTTCTACGTGATAAAATTCCCTCTGATTGTTTACTGAAAAGAAAAGGCACCACCTTGTCCTCTATGTGTTGCCTTTATAATGCAACTGAAGAATCAACGTCCCATCTCTTTTTCCAGTGCAGCTTCGCCACCTCGCTCTGGAACTGGTTTAAAAGAAAAGCCAACACTAATTCTAATCCCTCTACTTTGGAGCAATGGCTGAACTGTGATATAGGTTCTAACTGCAATTAAGCTTCCCTGCTAATGAAGACTGTAGTTATTCTCATCGTCAATCAGATTTGGTCTTCTAGAAATTGTTGGAAGCATAACAACATTTTTCCTAGAAAGAATAGATCCATTAACTTGATTTTGGCTAGTGTGAATATGGCAGGAAATAATTCAACTAATACCTCTGCTATTTCTATTTCTGATTCCACCGTCATTAAAGCGTTTGATGTTATTATTCGCCTGCCTCATACTCCAAACATACAGGAGGTCTTGTCGATTTCTCTTAATCCTGACTGGTTGAAGTGTAATTGCAGTGGATCGTTTAATCCTGTCTCAAAGGCGGTTGGGTGTGGCCGCATTTTTAGGAATCACTTTGGAGATTTCTTGCTAGCATTTGAGGAAAATATTGATACTGGCTCTTCGGTTTTTGCTGAGTTCCCAGCGGTCATTGAGGCTTTGGATATTGCAATTAGTCGGGGTTGGAACAAGATTTGGATTGAAACAGATTGCAGTTTGGTCATTAAAGCTTTCTCCAAACCTGACTTGGTTCTATTGAAACTTCTTCACAAGTGGCAAAGAAATATAAATCCTTCTAACTTTTCGAACATCATAATCACTCATATACAATGGGAGGGTGTTGGCTGAAGATTTTGATAATGTTATTTAGAATTCAAAAGAGTTAAAGTTCTGATCGAAGTGGAATTAAACGCCATATTTCGAAGTTGCAGAAGCAGTGTTTCGAATAAGTGTGTCAAAGCTTGAAGCTTCGAACGGTGATTTTGGGAACATATCCAAAGGGGTCTCGAAACAACAGCGAGGCTAGAGCGTTCGAAACGGAGAAACCCCAAAGCATTTAAAATTCAAATGGAAGCGGGACTTTCAAAGTTTGAAAGTTATGTGTTGGAGCATTTGGGGACACGTGGAAAGATGAAAGAAGCATTGTCTTGCATGTTCGAAACGTGGCATGATCCTATAGCGAGACCGTTAGGGTCGAATTAGTATAAATAGAAGTCTTAGTATTAGGATTTCAGTGTGTCATATCTGTTGTACAAAATACTCAATAACATTCAAACTACCACATGGCAAGGGAAACGAATGCGAGATAAATGTATGTATGATAGCACCATGTATTTCTAACTTAATGAAAGCCTTTTTACCATTTCCAGTACTTTCTTCTTTTCTTTTTGTCGAATAACATTTGCAAGTTTCTTTATTTACTGTCTTTTCATTTCAAAGTCTTTTCCTCAAAGTTTTACGTTTTACTGCTTTCTTTATACTTCGAGCACTTTATATTTCAGAGAACTGTTACACTTTCAATACCTTTACTTTCAAGTATTGTTTTTCAAGCGCATAATTTTACTTAAAATCATTTATAGATTTCTTGCATTAAACGCTTTCTTCACATTTTTAACTTCTACATTCCAGAAACCTTTTATGTTAAATGTTTTATAAATCGAAACCATTTACTTCATTTTTCATACAGTTTCATATGTCTCTTCAATCAGCATTACAATTAGCATTTATTCGTATAACTTAGTTTTCATATACATTTTGACCACATTCTTAAACTCTTAGAGAGAGGAATCGAAATAAACCAAACACTTGTACAATAGAAACCATGAATAATTGTTCGATTGTGAGAGTAACCTTAATATCCAAGGAGTCCTAGGATCAATCTAGTCGATCCTGTGAGTTACCAGAGAGATTGAATAGCGTTAACAAAGATTATTCGATATTTTGGAAGACTAGCGGTTGTTTACCAGAAATCACTGGAAACAAATTGGCACACCCGGTGGGACCAATAGTTGGATATCAGAATTAAGGATTGTCGAGACGTAGCCATCCCAAAAACGTAGGAACCTGAGAAGTTTGCTGTTTTATGAACCTGAGAAGTGGTAAGATAACCAGCAACCAACCTCTATCCAGAAGAAAACGTTTGGACAAAATGTCTAATTCAGACAATCAACAAGGAGACCAAGGTGGCCCACATACCACAGGCACTAACGCGTCCATTTCGAGCGGAACATCTAATGTAATCCCTTCGAATGCACAGTCTGTTGCATCTTCAACCAGTAACATGGCCACCAATGGAGTGAGTGGCATATCAACTAACAGTTCGATCGTAGGAAATACTGGAACTATGGGCTACCCTGGGGGATTCGTTCCACCACCAGGAACACAATCCCATTTCGCCACACCATTAACTAGACCACCCGGCTTCGATGGGAATAGAATTAGAAGTTCTTCTTACGGAATGCCAACATCTTTTATGGCAGGTTTACACAATTCCACATCGAATTCATCCCCACAACTAGGATCTGGGTCTGGGGCGAACCAATTTACGACAAATAACCAAGGGTCAGTGGGTTATAGCACGTTGCCTATCCTAACCACAGATAACCAGTTGGCTTTTAGGCAATTGATGGATGACAGCAACCACAATATGATAGGGGTGTTAGCGCAAACCATGCAGGAAATATTTGCCCCAATAGTTCAGAATGTGACTGTGACGAACAGGGAAAACGCTGACAATATGAGTCGAATAGCAGACTTCTTTGCTCCCACAGAAAGGCGTAGGCAGAACCAGGCGGGACTTCGAACAAACATGCCTGTCATAGAACGAATTGCTAACGACCCAATTCATAGACTACCCAGGGAAGAAGCTAACTTAGGGGCCAGAGCACCAAGGTTAGAAGCCCTAATAATTCCGGGCCCACAAAGGGAAGTTATGGAACCAGGGGCAAGGATCGAAAGGCCAGAAGCCCCAGAATTTCGAGAAGAACAACCTAGGGGAGTTGTTTTGGTCGGTCGAAATCAAGATGCCGATGCCGTCGTTCATAGGATTCGAAACGATAACATCTTGGCAGAAAATAACCTAACCACCATGATAGAGAGGATCATGGCCCAGAATGGCCTCAATACGGGAATGAGGAGGCCAAATTACGCTTCTCCTATATTGGATTGTATAATGCATACTGATTTACCAAGGGGATATAAAGTCCCTAAATTTACAAAGTTCGCTGGGGATACCAACGAATCAACAGTCGAACACATAGCGAGATATCTAACCGAAGCGGGAGATATAGCCAATAATGAAGATCTCGGGATCAAATACTTCCCAAGTTCCTTAACAAAAAACGCCTTCACTTGGTTTACCACGTTGCCTCCTGGGTCTATTGACACTTGGACCCTTTTAGAGAGATTATTCCATGAACAATTTTACATGGGACAATCGAAAATAAGTTTCAAGG